TCTCTCCACCGTAACTGGCCCGCTGCCAGCGCCTCGCAGGGCCAGAAAGTTTTATCTGTAGGGATTTATTTTTCAAACCGGCCCCAGCTGCACACAGACTTCGCKGCCGAATCCCCGCTGCCGGGGCGAGCTGAACGCGGCAGGGGAAGCGCAGCGGGAGCGCTGAGCGCGCCTCTCCTCCGGCTATTCCTGTCAGGATGGATTTACGGCTTTAAAAGGACTCGGGAGAGGGGGAGGAAGGAGAAGGAAAAGATCTCCGGGAGCCAGAGCTCGCAGCGCAGCCCGGCGAAACGCGCGGCGAGGAAGGAGAAGGAAAATCGCCTCCAGGAGCCGGAGCTCGCAGCGCTGCCCGGAGAAACGCGCGGCGAGGAGCGGCCGGAGATCCCGAGGATGGCARAGGGATCACCCCGTGATCGGGGGCAGCCGGGCTGTGAGTGATCCCGAGTTTCCGTCCTCATTCGCAGAGCCCGGCTGGGGTTTGGGGAATCTCGCTCCAGGACCAGGCTTTGCCATGTTGGCCAAGGCGCTGCTTTCCCTCGGGCTGTGGCTGCGCTTCGCGGCGGGACAGGACGCACCTGAGCCAGGTGAGTGCCTGGAAAGGCGGCTCCTGCGGTTCTTTCTCCCCCCGTTTTACCCCTCCTGCTCCTCGGAGATCCTCATAAACTCTTTTCAGAATAAAAGCTGAGGCTGCAGTGCTGTTTTAGATGTTCAGGTGTTTGTGAGTTGCTGTGCTGGCATGAGGACCAGCCAACCAACCAAACCGGTCTGAAATTGCCCATTAAAAAGTAATTTTGTCGTGTTTGGAAAAGGGACGTGTTTCAGAAATGCGCAGAGTTTAGAGGAATCCTATGGAAAAGTTCTCACTGGGGACTGAGGCTGGGGACAGGCACTGAGAGAAGCCAAGGCAGTGATTAACACCACGTTCTGCTGTTAATCTCTGTAATTCAATCATCACAGCTCCTCTTTAAAATGCTTTCTCTTGGACACTGCCCATGGAAAACGGGAAMGGGTCAGTTCTGAGCTGAGAGCGGGGAAGGGACGTGGAGGGACGGGGGGCTCACTCTTGGTCCCTGGCAGGGCTCACCCCACATTGTGGTGCCCGAGAGGTTCATTTCGTGCTGAAGAGTGGAGAAGGTTCTGTGGCTGCAGGGCCGGTTGTGCCCGGTTCTTACCGCGCCCGGGAAGGGCAATCCGGGGRGAAAGGAGAGAGAACAGMCCCGTGTGTGCCTGGACAGAGGRAACAGCCCCGTGTGTGCCTGGACAGAGGGAACAGCCCCGTGTGTGCCTGGACAGGAGCTCCCCAGGCTCAGACAGAGCCTGGACTGTGGAAAAGGTTTCCACAGTGACATTTTGCTCCCAATATCACTGCCCGGAGTGCTGCGCTGCTGCTGCCGCACGGAGAGGCTGGGGCTGTGTCAGACCCCTGCCGAGGATTCTGCTGGATTCTGTCCCTCAATGTCCCCTTTGTCAAATCCTTCCAGGGTCTGTCCCTCGSTGTCCCTGTGCTCAGACCCCTSCCRRGGATTCTGCTGGGTTCTGTCCCTCAGTGTCCCCTTTGTCAGACTCCTCCCAGGCCGCTGGCTCCTGTCCCTCGATGTCCCAGGGTGGGGCAGCAATGCTGTCGCTGCTCCTGCCATTGTCACAGCGCTCCAAGTCCCCCCGGGCAGCAGCCGTTCCCATTGTCCTGCCATCCTGCTGCCCCGGCAGCGTGTGGCATTTGCCCAGCTGAAATTGTGGGTTGGAAACAATGCCGAGACCTCCAGGGCATGTGCCAGGGCCAGCTCTGGCATTCCAGCGGGATGGTGTCCCGCTCCAGAGGCAGAGGCTGTGCTGTGTCAGTGCCGTCTGCCTTCCAGGCACCCTGACAGAGAATGGGTGAGTCCTGTGGCCAGGAGATGCCCATCCCAGCCTGGCAGGGCTCCTGGATGCCGGGAGATTCTCGCCTCAGGGAAGCACATCCCGCTTCCCTCCCGCCTCAGGGAAGCACATCCCGAGTTCGTCTCCTTCAGGAAAGCAAAACCCGCGTTCCTCCCCCTCAGGGAAGCCCATCCCGCTCTCCTGCCGCCTCAGGGAAGCACATCCCGCGTTCGTCTCCTTCAGGGAAGCAAAACCCGCGTTCCTCTCGCCTCAGGGAAGCGCATCCCGCGTTCTTCCCCCTCAGGGAAGCGCATCCCGCGTTTCTCTGTTCCTCTCCCCTCAGGGAAGCGCATCCCTCGTTCCTCTGTTTCTCTCCCCTCAGGGAAGCGCATCCCCCGTTCCTCTGTTTCTCTTCCCTCAGGGAAGCACATCCCGCGTTCTTCCCCCTCAGGGAAGGGCATCCCGCACTTCTCTCGCCTCAGAGAAGTGCATCCCGCGTTCTTCCCCCTCAGAGAAGTGCATCCCGCGCTCCTCTCCCCTCAGGGAAGCACATCCCGCTTTCTTCCCCATCAGGGTAGCGCATCCCGCCTTCTCCCGCCTCAGGGAAGCACATCCCGCGTTCCCGCTCTCCTCTCGCCTCAGGGAAGCACATCCCGCGTTCCTCCCCCTCAGGGCAGCACATCCAGCCTTCTTCCCCCTGAGGGTAGCGCATCCCGCGTTCTTCTGTTCCTCTCCCTCAGGGCAGCACATCCCGCGTTTCTCCCGCCTCAGGGCAGCACATCCCCGCGTTCCCGCTCTCCTCTCGCCTCAGGGCAGTACATCCCACGTTCCCCCGCTCCTCCCTTCTCCCTCTCACGGCAGAGGACAACCGTGGAGTGTCAAACATCGTTAACCCAGACAGGCCACGATTCTTTCTGGCCGCAAGCGAGCCCCGCAAGCTCCGAGCCGGCGTTCATSGGGCTCCCAGCGGACAGCGAGCGGATGTCTCCTGTCAGCATGGCGGGGAAGTCTGGCCAGCTGTTTTCCTGCCTCAAAAGCCAGCAGGCAGCGTTGTGTTTCCATGGCGACATTTCGCTCCGATATCAGCCCCTTCCAAACACTCCCGATCCCTGCGCGGTGACCTGGCAGCRCTCRGARGGTGACACCRGRGTGACACCAGGATGACAYCAGRGTGACACCAGGGTGACACCAGGGTGACACCAGAGTGACACCAGGGTGACACCAGGGTGACACCAAGGTCCCGCCGCTCTCCTGTGTCCTTCCCCAGGCTTAGAGCGCAAGGATGGGGTCTGCAGTTATCCCCGCCGGTTTAGAAAGCAAGGAATCGCTCGTGGATCCTCCAAATCCTCCCCGAAAAGGGAGAAATCCTCATTTGGCAGCTCGCCGAGCGATGGAAGCGCTTGAGAGCAGCAGCCGCTTGCGTAAGCGAGGATTTGCTGGTTACAAACCGCCGCAGCCGCACCTCTGGCACGGAGCGCGTGTTTGTGCTGGATCAGGACAAGGAGCAGGGACAGGGATGAGGGAATTGAAAACCCSGACCTGCAGGGGAGGGACGAGTCCGTGTCCGGTCGCTTTCTCAGCATTGCCAGTCTCCTGGTGCGGGGAGAGCCTTCATCTCGATTTTTTTAAATTTGTTTTTATTTTTTAATGGATTCTTATGGATTTTTTTAAAATGGATTTATGGATTCTTTCTGCTGAATGGGAGGAATTAGTTTCCATCTCGTGCGAGGCTGAGTGTTACARATGTGACCACGAAGGACAAACCCTCAGCCCCACCCACAGAGGGTCCCTTCAGCTCCAAAATTCCCCCCTGCCCACCCGTTTAGTTGCTGGTTTTGTTAACCCTATGGGGCCAGAGCCTTTGCCTCGTTTTTTTCTTTTTTTTTTTTTTTTTTATTTTTCGGTTT